AGGTCTACAATGTCTGTTAGGATTGCTAGGCTATATATATATATATATATATATATATATATATATATATATATATATATATATGCTAACAACAGTCGTATGTAGGTGTGAGTGGGATCGCATTTCAACTGGGCAGTCGAAATAATATGCTTTTTTTAACATTTAGGTAGAAATAACATTGAAAAGGCAAAATTCACCACTTCTACATAAATATACATATATATGTCATAAATGTCTGATGTAAGTTACACGATCAAATAAGGCATTTTAAATAAAACAATTTATCGTTAAGCTATTGTGAAGCAACCCACACACACACATATATATATAGCTAACAATTTTACTGTTTGTTTAAAATAGCATAATTTTACCAAACAGGAAATCAAAAAAGAGAGGAAAAAAATAAGAAGAAAAACACAAAGGGAAATGCACTTCATTTGCATTAGGGATAAGAATAAATTTCTCAATAGATGATATACTATAAATAGTAAGTGTTTATATATATATATATATCTGGCATACAGTGTGTTTATGTACATATAGTAAGCAAGATATCTAGCTAGGAGAAGATAAAAATAGGTAGAGATATAGCTACTCTTCACAGCTATACTGCTAAATCCTAAATCAATGCTTAGACACACGTGATACATACCTAATTATGTTATAGTAACTCAATAGGCTAACGCGATCATCAAATCAACAGTATCACTATGGTTGTTTCATACAATTGTGTATCCAGAATGAGATTTCAAGAGTAATATAGAATAACAATAACACTAAGGATGACATATACACACATTTAGAACAACAATGACTTTTGACACAACATGACAAACTGAACATACCGGAAGTGTACAGTGTAATTGAAGTAAAATATCAACTCTTATTGTCACATAATATTATTTCATTATTTTATTCCTTTGCGTTCCTAATGGAACATTAGGCTTCAAAAGCTTGAGCTTTGAAGTTTCGGTAACAGTGGATATTTTTTTCTAAACAATTTTACGGGATGGGTCGCCAGCCTTTCACGCTTATCTTCCCTCTTTATCGCACTTATTACTCCAGCTAAGAGAAGTTTAGGAGTGCGTCGGGCGGGGATCAAACCCCGGACTACGTGAGGTGTCGTTAGCGGGCACTTTGCCGCCTAACCACTTACGCACTACATAATAAAATAAGGCAAAATAGAAATTCATATTTCAGAATAAATATGACTGAAGTAATAATCCCTACAAACCAATAGTTGAATATCAATGAGATGCTCACTGGCGACTGACCGTATACAAGTAGATAGTTACCTGGGGTTCTAGTTGGAAGTCGTGACCAGTAGGGTGCAGCACATCGAGCGTGAGGACAAATACTCGCTGAAGATATTGGCTAGAGGTTGCGCTACGTCGTGAATTTGCAGAAGTTAGAATTCATGGGCTGGTCATTGGATCGGGTCCCAGTGACTTAATGGTATACGAGCTCTCCTCTTAATCGAAAGGTCCTGGGTTCGAACCTCGGTGGGGGGGTACTGATGAAGAGTCCCAAACTATGACGAAACAGTCGCTCAGTGGTTCTTTAACCAATGACAACTCATGATGAAATCCTGAAAGAAATCAGATGTCGGTAGAATTTCTGTGTTGATAAAATATGTTGTTATCCTTCTTTATTGAAAAAATAACAACAATAATAACTGAGTAACTAGTTACAGGTTCAGTCAATCAGTCAATACGACTTTTGATGGCTTAACTAAGCAATCCAGAGTACCTTATACAATTTCAGGAACCAACGCTTGGAAATGGAGTGTTCAAACAACAGAGTTACAGACGATTTATAGATAACTAAGTGGAGAAAAGTAAAACTCTGCATATAAACTGTGCCACCGTATTTAAACTTCATAAACTTAAGAGTAAGTCAACCAGGTGCTTTTTTCCGTAGTACCTTTCTGTTTTTCAGTGAGAAAATGAAAATCACAAATAAAGTGAGATCAGATCTCAAAAGTTCTTAATAGTATAGTATTAGAAATAGACAAAATTAAAAAAAGACATAGGAACTAGCAATATATATATATATTGTTTATAATCAGATTCTCCTCATGTTTCACTCCACTATACGCAGTTAGTTGTCTTCGATCATATGTGTCTGCTCTCTGTCTCTCCTATGTCAGATGGAATAATGGAGTGAGTAATACTGAGGCTAGGCGCTGAGTGTAGCTTAAGCAGGGCGTGTCAAGATCATTAATCTACATCAATTGAGATGGCTAGCATATGTGTGTTACGCATGCCTAGCCATCGCCTTCCTCGATGGGCAATGTTAGCTGACACAGGATCAAGTTGGAAATGAGCTAATGGTGATCCGACCAAAACATGGCTTCATCAGTCCATAAACTCTTTAACAGTTAGTTTGAGTCATATAGGGAGATGTAAGCCTCCTGGTTTGGGTCCTCAGGATTCAAACAACCAATGGCTGGTGACAATCGGTGATATGGCTTAAAAATGTACTTAGTAGCGCAGATGCATTCACTTTCTGTGGCTTGTCATATCCAATAAAACCCTATTGTTTTTCCATGTTATCACCGTTTCTCCCTCACATTTCTTTCGAATATCTATTTTGTCTCTTTTGTCCTCCTTTGTGTGGTACATGGAGTGAAACAACTCACATGCTGCACATCTGTGCAAATTTCCATGTTGAAAACAGTCAGTCAGTTTAAATACATGAAATTTTGACTGATAGTGATGATTTATACGTAACCATTAATACAAGTACTTAACACAGGTGACAACAAAAACAATTAAAATAACGTGACAATGTAAAAATTTCACGAGCTTAAATTAGATTGAAACCGAAGAAATTTAGCTGAAAACAATGTTGTCAGTTTAGATGTCTTCTTTTTGATAAAAATGTTACGTACTAGGCAAACGAACTGACTGCAGATGATGGACACCAAGTATGCATTTCACATTATATTAACTGTGACCAACAATTTTCTCCCTTCATGTTCCCTAGTGGAACATAGGGCCTCAAGCTAGTGGCTTTAAGTTTCTGTAGCCATATTTAGTTTTACAGGATGGGGTTGCTAGCCTCATGCTCAATCTTTCCTCTTTACCAGCATTATTTCTGGCTTAGCAAGGTAAAGGAGTGCATCGGCCGGGAATCAAACTCCGGACTATTTGCATGGTCGGCGAGCGTCCTTACAGCTGTGCCACCGACGCACGTGACCAACAATTAGTCTTCTGTTATTCGTAGTTATTCATTACAATACCATGTAGGCAATAAACTTTTACTGTGTAATGTTAGTTATAGTCTGTTTTCGTCCTATAGTTTGAGAATAAAAATTCAGACCATAACAACAGTGAATATTTCCCACTATGAGTTTGGCCTAGAATGATCGATTGAGAAATTACCACTTATTTATTCCTATTGATTAGTATTCCTGCTTTAATTTGTATATAGTAAAAACAAATACAGTGAAGAGTGGGAAAATTTCGAATAGACGACATACCACCAAATAATGATGATCGTAAAATTTTAAAACTAATAGAATGTTTCTTTTTTTAACCAGCAGAAAATTTATTTCACTAAAAAATAAGTCTCAAATAATTTCTCCGGTAGTCATCCCAATTACACGAGATACACTAAGAGGTATGCAACTTAATTAATGAATTTTCTAGAGTTATTTTGTAGAGGTTTTATTTGTTTCAAGTTTGATCACGGATTGATATCAGTTAGGAAGGACTGGACAGTTATTTCGTCTTAGCTTGGGACTCATCATCAGTACTCAGCCACCAAAGGTTGAACTCAGGACCTTTTGGTTAAAAGGCGAGCTCGTAGACCATTCAGTCACTGGGACTCCAACTAAATGACTAGCCAAAGAATTCTGACTTATACCAACCCGCGATTTTAGCGTGACCACCAGCCACTACTGTCGGCAAGTATCTGTCCTCACTGCCTACTGGGAGAGAATTGCTGCCCATGGCTTCTCAGTAGATCCCCACTTAAATTCGTCCTGTAGCCAGATTAATTCATGAAATTATGAAATTAATTTAGTGAAAGATCACAAACAACCAACAAATAGCGCATACACATTAGCGTGCAATAGACAAATACGACGAACCATGGATAAATCAAACCGACAATTTAGAATATAATGAAATCATTTCAATTTTTGCTTTGTTTTGTCATTCCTGATATTTTGAGTCGAACACAAAATTCCAAGCTTTTTAAGTTTCACTAACGATATCGGGTTTTTTTTAATAGGATGCAGTCGCTAGCCCTACACATCCAACCCCTCCCTATTTTCCCAGGGCTTACTATCAACCAATAAACTAGGCGAGGTTTAGACATACATCGATAGGAGATCGAGGCCGAATCTCCAGCGTGACTCATGAGTATTCTACCGCTGAATCACCAATTGATTCACAATAAAGTCGATACTATGCGATTAGGAGTAAGACAAATCAATCAATAAAATGTAGTCTATAATAAGCAGTTTCAGTATTCAACTTCTAGTGAAGGAGCAAACGATGATGATGATGATGCGTTTTAGACAGAATAGGGATTGATGTTTTAATATCGACAAGTGAGTAATGCCTTTGTTTCTTCAAATTCTGAAACATTGACAAACATACACGTCAGCTATTATTGCTATGAATTGAAAGCACAAAAATCAGTGTAACATATGTGAGGTGAATTAATGCAACAAAGCCTGTAGCAATCGGTGTTTTAAAACCTAAAAAACAATACAATACATATACAAAGGAGGATAATACACTGTGGAAGTTTGTGCTTCAATAAAACATCTGTAATTCTTAAATAATACCAAAAATGCACATATTATCTACTCCACTTTTAAGGAAATAATAATTTATTCAGTAAACTTATTATCAAATTTATTTATTCCCCAAACCATTATAAGAAAAACAACCTCAGGGATGTTTGGTAATAAAGTCCAAAAAATCCACTGAAACATTGTGATAAAAAATAATAACAATTAAGAAACAACATTGATCGATACATACCTTAACACGAATCGGATCAATGCCATATGTCTCCAAACTGCTGGCAAGGTGTATTAGCTCGCTAGCCGCTTCAGAAGGCAAAAGATTCCTATACAAAAATAAATCAAGAATATGAAGAAATTTACATTAGATAATATACTAACAAGTTTCTGCCTTCATATGGCAAGGGTGTTCTCTACAAAAATGACGCGGTGAATGATAAAGACTGGCGCTTACAACCGGACTGGTGGAGAACCAAACCTATGATGCATATATGCTTCGGAATCCGAAAGGATCGAATGGTGTATGAACCTCCTCGGTTACCACCAACCATAGGAATGCAACTCCACTGTCGTACATATTAGACTTAAAGTCAAAAGCTCGGGATATGGCCTATTAAGAAAACCAACTGCTTCAATCTGGGAGTCGACGCAGTATGCCAGAGCTCGCACAAACTATGAAACTTTGTGTGCCGCCCATAATATGCTAAGTTTTCATCTTAATAAATAAAATTCTAATATATCATAGCTGATAAAAGATGGTTAACATAGAAAACATCACTTTAAGTCATCATCAGAGGTAGATTTTGCGTTTCAAATTAGATTTACTTAGCTATACGGGTAGGCTAGTTTCACTGAATAATTTCGTACCTCATGAAGGCGATCAGAATAATTTATTTCATCACCAGTCTGTTGAGATTTCTTGTGTGAAAAATGTACATGTATTTTATATTATTATTCCCTTGGGTTCCGAGTGGAACATAGGACTTCAAAAACATATCTCCACTTCCTTCTATTTTCTGCTATCCTCTTCATCTGGGTCCACGATTGACCCTAATCTCTCATCTCCTCCTCCTCTTCGCACAATGTCCTCCATGTCACCCTCGCACCGACAACCTAATCGTCGCTTCCCATCCAAATTCCACTCGAGCGATGACGCGCGCTGTCATTCGACGACCTACTTAACGTATGCCCGATCCATCTCCATTTTATCCAACATATCTGTTGAGCGATCAACTTTTGGTTGCTTTGTTCCACTGCAGAGTTTCTTGTTGATAATTCTTTCTGGCCGGCAGGCTGGCCATGTGATCTACAGTATGCAGCCAGCCAGAGAAGGTTCCAGCAGTTGATAAAGGTCTGTATTACCCTGTTGGATATCCTTTTCTTAACACGCAATGCAAGTTTATGACCCGTATAGAAGGAGTGACTTGACAATGGTGTTGAAAATCCGAATCTTGTTCTTTATGTTGAGTTAGGGCGGAAGATTTCCAAACTAGTTTCAAGTTGATGAAGGCATATCTTGCCTTTCCATTTTGGTCTTCATCCGTTCCACCTGTGATTGAAACCGCACTTCCTAGAAAGGTGAAGTCAAATAAAACTCCTAAGAGACGCTGAGTTTAACTTACACAGCGAAAACCGACAAACTGGTCGAAGAAGCAACCGGAGAAGATAGGATTCCAGGTGAACATAGACAAGACGGAGGTTATGAAAATAACCAACCAACCAACCAACAACAACAACAACAGAAACATCCAGTGCCAATCACCATCAACGGGATGGATTTGAATGAAGTTACTTCATCCACTCACTTATCTAGGGAGCATTATCTCAACTACAGGCAGTCGGAACGGACGAGGATGTCAAATCGAGCGAGAATCGGGAAGGCAAGAAACACGTTCATCAACCTGAAACCAATCTGTAAATCTTCGTCCCTCAGCCAGCATCAACAACAAAATTCGGTCGGATTTTCAATACAAACGTGGTCAATTCAGTCAGTTCTTCTATACAGAACGGATCAGAAATTTGGCGGGCGAGTCACAAAGAACAGGTATTTCCAACAGCCTGTTGCAGACCTTCATCAACAACTACCTTCGCTAGCTCTATACTGAAGATCAGATGGCCGGGCCAGAAAGAATCACCAACAAGAAACTATGGGAACAAATAAACAAAACAAGAACCAATAGCCAACCAACAAATATGTAGGAGTAAGTGGAGATGGATTGGACAATGGTTGAGGAGGCCGCTGGGTGACATCGCGCGCGCGTCAGGCCATTGCTCGAGTGGAACCAGGCCGGAAGGGAAGCGGCGAGTGAGACGTCGGTGCAAGTGTGACACGGAGGAGATCGTGTGAAGAGGAGTTGAAACAGTATGGGCATTGATGTAAAATGGATGCAGGTGAAAAGTACAGCAGAAGACAAAAGAAGCAAGTGGAGACGTGCAGTTGAAGCCCTATGTTCCACTAGGAACCCAAGGGAACAATAATAAATAATAATAAATAAAACTCCTAGTAGAAGTCACAGGTCATTCTTCAGCTTCTAATAATCTTACGACTAAATGAAGATGAAGGTTTTGAAGAACGAATATGAATGCAGATACTTAATTAAGGCATTCAAATGTGATTATTGTCATTACTAACTACATCTTATTTCATCCGGTCACTCCGATAGTGGTCAACCAATTTAATGATATGAAAGTAGGTCAAAAAATTTTTTGAATAATAAAATATTAAAAGTGCCATCAGAATGCCTTATACAAAAAAAACCAATTGCAGAAAATCGATTAAAAATGGGAGCATAGAAGACTGAAGAGTCACAAAACTGAATTTAATGAATTTTCCAACGAAGTGATGAATGAATTGATAAAAACAATACTCTACACTTGCCATAACTTCAAAAATGAATAGTGAATGAAAATGCTTCTAACAGTTAAACAATCACTCACTCTAATTTCTCATGCTCCTTTATAATACACAATTCAAGACGTTCAGTTTGATTGTGTAATACACGAAATTCATGCAAATAGTTACGTTCACCTTCATTTTTGATAGACACCACAGGTTGATCCTGTACTGAACTATCTCCAAGTTCCACTAAAAATCAGAAGCAAAATAAAAACGTATACATCGAAATGGACAGATTTTAAAACCTCAGTAGTCAGTAACATTGAAATTTATGATCGTATAAAGACAATAAAAATATACGATTGTAGCAAGAAGGCTTACCTTGAACCACAAGAGCTGCAAGGCGAATTAAAACATCAGTTGAAGCAACTAACCTCCCGCTTATCAAATCACGACGCAACTGATGATAGAGGAGGTAGCTGTGAAAAGAGAAATGAGAAGGGAAATTAAAATTTTTTTATAAGGTACGAAAAATGCAATCTGATGGAAGAGGCTACAAAAAGAGGGAGGTGTATTATGAGTGGAAAATAGCCACAGACATTGCCAGTGGTAACGAAGATCAAACTAGCTAACATATAACCAAGGGAGAATCCGATGACGATACACTTGAAATATTCAAAAAAATCAGTCATACATAAGTTACTTATGGATGAGAATAAATACTACTTCCATCAACAGTCAAACTTCTGTAAACAGAAAACGTCTTCGCTTATATCATGACAAAGACAAACTTAAAATCAGAGAATTTCTCTAGAAAATTATTCTCTATATTTCTGCCAATTAACTAAATCAGGATTGGAAATGACTGTTTTTTCAAATGTGCAGGTAGGTATACTGAGGGCATCTATCATTTCTAGGCAAATGTCAAGATATTTCGGGGAATGAAATACTTCACTTTTTTTCACTCATCTATCATCGGAAAATGTTTGTTTTTCTTTCAACATTGTACGACCTAGATATTTTGTGACTCATAAAAGGCTTAGTAATCAATCAGGAATAGGTTTTGTAATAGTGAAAGCTTATCAGATTTTGATGAAATCTTGACCTTTAAGGACAACTGGTTTCTATAAAATCAAAATCAAATTTTTTGATGTCATTTAAAATTATTAACTACTCACTCTTCAATATATAGATGAGAGATGTAATATTTACTTTTACTGGTTCAGGTTTATCTTAACTGAAACATTTGACCTCTCTAAGAGACTTTTCATCAATACTTTAGAAATATCTCATTATTATCCTTCCCAAAAGTTTCTGCCAGCCACTGTTTTTATATCTGGAGGGAAATGGAACGTCTATGCAGATGAATATCATAAGTTAACTGTTACTAGTGTCTTTGTCCTTCAGTTGGAAATAACCTACCAAAATACAATATGCTACAGATTCACTGCAGCAGACAATTATTAAAGGAGCTACAGAAAAGCATCAAATAAATGGATGATTTTCTTCAAGTAATGTAATAACACCATAAGTTAGTCTGTGACAAATCAACGAGGTAAAAAAGATTCGCTAGTATGTAGTGAGCGTCGGTGGCATAGCGGTTAGGACGCTCGCCGACCATGCACATGGTCCTGGGTCTGATCCCCGGCCGACGCACTCCCTCACCTCACTAAGCCAGTAATAAGATTGGTAAAGAGGGAAAGTTGGGCATGAGGCTAGCAACCCTATCCTGTAAAATAAACACTGCTACAGAAACTTCAAGCCTCTAGCTTGAAGCCCTATATTCCACAGGGAACGTGAAGGATTAAAAAAAGTATGTAGCGGATTGCCTGGATAACTCCTAAGAACTATGGAGTTGAAATCAGTTTGACAATCATTACAAACTACCAGAAAGGGCTGGACAGCGTTTTCGTCTTGGTTTGGGACTCATCATCAGTACCCAACCACTAGGGTTTGTACTCAGGACCTTTTGGTTACAAGGCGAGCTCGTAGACCATTCAGTCACCGGGACTCCAACTCGTGGTTTTATCCCAACCACCAACCAATGTCGTCAGCGGGCATCTATCTACACTTCACACCGGGAGGAAATTACTATCCACGGTTTATAACTAGATCTCCACGCGAATTCGTTCTGAAGTCAGTCACTAGCGAAATCCAATGGGGTGGATACTGTCGACCAGTCCCAAACTAGGAATAAACAGCTGTCCAGTACTCCCTGGTGGTTTTCAACGATTCTCTAGTTGATATTAGTCCACGATGAAACTTGAAGTAATATAAACTGTCTATTGAGTGGTTTTATACTTGAAGGGAGTGAGTAAAACTCAACTGAAATTTGACGAGAATCGGGTTAACGACAGTGGTAATAAAAGGGGTAGAAATTTAACAGGGGTTGAGGGAAGAAAATAATACAATTAAAAGGCAGAAAACAGAAATTGCGTATCCGGTCTTAAGACAGATTAGGTTCATGGTGGATTTAGTGACTGAACAAAATTCGGTATGTAGAATTCAAGATTTAGCATGTTAATTGCCATTACTTCTGAGGTTTGAAGAAACTCGATTCGTACTCTTTTATCAAGATTCCCGCGTATTCGATCTTCTGCTTTTCTAATTGTATTATTTTCTTCTTTCATCCCCTATTAAATTTCTACCCCTTTTATAAACCCTGTTGTTAAGTTGATTCTCATCCAATTTTAGCTGTGTTCTACTCACCCCCCCCCGTCAATTATATTACGTCACACAATTTACTCACTTTATTTCAGTTTCCACCTGACTGATGCTTTTTACGTTACGTAATTTGTTATCTATAAATTTACAATTCTAAGACAAACTGTTTGATCGAATCAAAACCGCTGAAGTAGATTTGTAACGGGATAAGTGAAAAAGAATTATGCCTATATGGCTAAGTTGCACGGATTTAAATTCCAGGGCAAGGAAACAAAAACTCTGTCTATGAACGATATTTTACAAACGTGACAGTTAAGGCACCACATCTCTACCCAATTGGAAGTAAGCGGACTAGACTTGAATAGTTAACCTATATATATAAACGTTGAGACTGTTAAAGTACACCTACATTACTAACCATGCACAGGTTCATGTACAACGCTGTGATAAATATATATTATCTATAGGGACGATGAATAGCATTTAATAAAATGAAATAGACATTGGAAGACATTAATGTAGCTTCAACACATATTTATAATAAACTTACTGAGATTTTGGTAACCTCAGGTCAACCATAGGATCTGCTGGATAGTGTTTAATGCGAAAGCTAACTTGACGAGGATATGTGTCTGTTGAAGAAAAATAAAAAATTAGCATAAGAATAACATTACAATGAATTGCTTACAATTAAAGCAGGATTAGAAAAATACTGCACAATGCATAACATTGAATCAAAGTCTGACTATATATTGACCTATTGACCCAAAGCATGGTGAAAAATTGACTCCCTTTTCTGATGTACAGCCATGAGAGGAGAAAAGAAACTATCCCAGACTTATTGGTCAAGTTGAATTCCAGTGAAAACAATTACAGAATTTCTTAGAAACCACGTATTTATGTATCTTAAATGAATTTTGTGCATCATTTGGTGACTGACCTAAAACTTCTGATGAAGAGCATCAGGTTGAGGAATCGAGTGAACATATTTATGGATTGTAACACATGTAGCACAAAAACAAGCTGTGTCACATTATCAGTGCGATAAAACTGATAACATCAATCAGTGATATCCAGTATAGTAATAAAAAGCTCGAAAATTATTCTTCAGTGTTTGATTTTGCAAACACACGAAATGTAAAACCGCATCCATCCTTATTGTTGATAAGCAACATTAATCTCAATAACGAAAAAGTTAACCATCGTGCCTCTTGTAGATTTATACAATATGAAAGATTCCATTAAAAAAAAACAAGCGAAAGAGTATATCTACAGAAAGAGCTATAAGGAGTAAAAATGCGACAAAGGCATAGTCGTAACGTGGAAAAACCGTAGGATTTAATGAATATAGGAGATCACAACGAGTAAATTCATATGTGCCATCGAGAACGATTTTGTGCCATATCACCAACAGTTCTAAGCCACTGCTTTCTTAGAGTCCCGAGGAACCCAACCAGACAGTATACACTACCCTACTTGGCTTAAACCAACTATCAAAGACTTCATGGATTAAACTTAGCTCTTAGCATGGCCACCTGAGTCTACCAAGTGAGTCTATCAGCCTTCAATTAGGGAATAAATCCCCATTGCTTAATGCTAGGAGATATAAATCACAAAAACATTTGAAAATCCCTATAATTTAGAAGAAAAATAAAATCCGTATACATAGGTTATACTGTCACACTTTGAGGTACAACAGAATTGTTAGAGTTTAATAATTCAGAAAATATTTTTCACATATTAGGCTATGAACCACACAATAACCGTGTAAGGGCTGACGATACTTCCTGGTTGAAGTGAGCGAAATGAGATTAGAACGACCTAACGAGAGATGTCTGTCTGGATTCAACATAGAACTTGGCACCGAAGTGCAGCAGTTCGAGTTCCCTCAAAATTAAAGGGAAAAATTTCTTCCCCCCGCCCTTGTTGTCTTTTTTGGATGTGACTCATTGAGTTCCGAGTTTAAATCCCACCTCATCCTACTTCAGCTTTGATAAATGGGTATTATTATTATTATCAGCCTTCACACAATAAAAGTGGCTCAGAGCCTGGCACAAGAAAGATAAATTTTCTTATCTATCTAATTACAGGTACATGCTGAAAACAGCCGTTTACTCGAATTATTTTTTTTCACTCGAAAAAGGCACACTTGATAGAGATTCTGAAACACTTTTATTGCTTGATTTTGCTTGTCGAGTACAGAAATGGCGATACTGATACCCTACATCCAGGTTTCATTGTCAAGAATGCTGAGAATCAATGACTGGGGGCTCCCCCGGTGACAGCTTATATATGCTTAACCCTTATCGTCCTCAAAACTCAACATCACGGATTATGATTTAATTATCCTCTTCCCCACCAATTTCTTTCCACTGTAGTCCCACTACATTTGTTTTATTTTTATGTAGGCTTTTTAGAAGTCTTACAACTTGAACTGATGCACTTCTGTGCAAACTATACAAACGTTAACGACAGTGATATTCGTAACATAAAAAGAAATATATTATGTCATAAAAATTACATTTAACTTACGCTTAAGTTGTGATAGTAAATTTCTTGTCAGATTGATCCAGTGCTGCGAGTAAGTTCCAATTTCATTGATGTATCAGTGAACATAAGAAAGACAGATAAACAATATGATGATAATAGTTAATAAACTGGGCGAATTATATTGCCACTGATATACAATTAACTAACTGATTGTTACACAATAAAGGGTAGAAGCAACCATCAAGCATACTTCAAGTCTACCGGGAGATTCACCACTTAGACTTTACTCTGTCAGTGAAAGTCTTGTGATGTCTTATTTTAACACTCACGGCTGTATGCACCAAATTAACAGTATCTGCTCGAAAACTGTTGAAAAATTTTTATATCAAAATATGACCGTTTTTTCTGCATCTTATTTCAGGAAAATCTGTAGAATAGGGACTCTTAAACACAAAATTGGTATATTATCTATATTTCGGGAATAGACTTTTATTCGATTTTTTGCTAAATTACCTCCTTGAGTAGATTTGCATTATTTTCAAGTATTGGTTTTGTAGGGATTTCGTTTAATTGCATGGATGACTTCATCATGAACTGACATCAGTTAGAGAACCACTGGAAAACCTGGGAGTCCTGGACAGCTGTTTCGCCCTAGTTTAGTACTCTTCAGCAATACGTACCCACCGGGGTTCGAACCCAGGATCTTCTGGTTACAAGGTGAGCTCGTAGACCATTGAGCCACTGGGACCCGATCCAATGGTCTACGTGCTCACCTTGTAACCAGAAGGTCCTGGGTTCGAACCCCGGTGAGTACGTATTGCTGAAGAGTACTAAACTAGGACGAAACAGCTGTCCAGGACTCCCATGTTTTCTAGTTTTGCATCAATTGAAAATCACACTAATTTCAAACCGTCATACATGTATTATAAACTGACTTATCTTTTGTATACTAATTTACTTATTCGATATATCGTAAAGTAAAACAGCATTATTTACTCGATGGTATTTCAAACAATCTATTGCTCGTAATCACACCAATTGTGTATTTACGACTGATAAGATTATAAACAATAAATTGTGTTTGAAACGACGTCCAATAAATAATACTGTTTCACTTTTTGATATTGTGGCATGTGCTACTCATAAGATTTACTAGTATTATCTAAAGAGACGTTAATCAGCACAAAAATATCAAATAGCGTCAAAGAGAGGAAATGAACCAGTATTGAAGCAAAACATGGAGGACAGAAAAAAAGACAAGGAAATACAATACGAAGTGCAGAAGTAGCACAACACCGAAGATTTGTGCAAAGCATGATTCTAATATGAGGTATACATAATTTCCCTATATGTGTATATCACACTGAAAATAAACATTCTGTTATCAAGTCTCTTGTCTTCTCCCATTACAATATATGCTATAAATAAATAAATAAATAAATATGGAATTACATACCACCACAGTGCCCAATTTTTACATACATATCAACTTACCTTTGTTGGTGGTGAAAGCATTTCATGTTCTAGGTAACGTAGACCAAAATATTCACGCTCTTGCATAACCCCCTGGTGACGACAAATTTCTTCAAAAAGCCACTTTCCGGATGCATCCTCCTGAAAGATAGAAAGCGATTACGATATCAACAAGGAAAAAGATATCCACCTATACACAACCACGATATTTAACATAAAGTAGGACTATATGCGATTCATATAAAAATAAAACTTGCGCACTGTGGTAGGATATAATTCAATTATGGGTAAAATTTGTTTTGATAAAGTCTCACAGTACTATACAGTAAACATTGCTGTATAACACTGTGAGACTTTTAATATATGTGTAAAACTTGAGCACTGTGGTAGTAATTAATTCCATAATAGTTGGTTTATTCGATGTATCACACAGTGAAACATTATTATTTACTGGATGACGTTTCTAACAAGATTTATTGTTCATAATCACATCAATTGTAATCACACGACTTCGAAACTTGAGTTTTATAGTTTTCTTTCTCTTCTCCTATTTGTCGTCGCTTGGGTATTAGAATTTTCCAGATGTCCGCATGGACAGGTGTTGATTCGATAAACAAAGCTTCTGTTAACAATCTCTCCCTCCACCCTGTTACATTAGACTTAAAATCTATCATCTTATCCCATTCTATAGCACTACATGCAATTACGCACAACCATACAATAAAATGGGATAAGATGACTGTTTTAAAATCTAATGTCACAGGGTGGAAGGAAAGATTGATAGCAGAAGCTTTGTCTATCAAATCAACTGCAAACACGTGTAACAGGAATGATTCAACGCCTGTCAATGCGGACATCTGGAAAATTCTAATACTCAAGTGACGACAAATAGGAGAGGAGAAAGAAAACTATAAAACTCAAGTTTCGAAGTCGTGTGATTACAATTGATGTGATTATGAACAATAAATCTTGTTAGAAACGTCATCCAGTAAATAATAATGTTTCACTGTGTGATACATCGAATAAACCAACTAATATGGAATTACTGTGAGGCTTTATCAAAACAAATTTTACCCATAATGGAATTGTGCGATTCAGTCTGATAACTTAGAAGAATCACGATTAATCTTGATAACAATTAAGGCAATGACAAAGAAACAACTCCACAACACGTTACCCTAATTGAGTATAGAAACACAAACTCGAAAGATCAGGTGTAATTTCAGTGATGACACAAAAATGATGAACCCATTTATGCTCTTTGTGCAGTTGTACACATTAAATGAAAATATTAGTTGGACAGTACACACAAAATTTCACCTAATCATTAGTTTACATACTCAGTCTTCCTGATAAAGGATATTTGATTCACCAATAATGGTATAAAATACAGTAAAAAGATGAAATTGGTTTACACACCATTCGAACAGACATGGAAAACTACATAAACTGCAACTGTAACTAGTAGGCTGAAAAATATAAGTAAAGAATTCAAATACACTAGGGAAACGATTCTTTTTCTAAACTTACTATAGTCTGTACCGACTAAGATAAAAATTAACGTAGGTGACGGTCGCAACACAAGTCAAGAAGTACTGATCCGTAGGGGTGTGGCCGTGTAAAGAGGAATCAGTAAGAACTGTATATAAGACTCTTAGTAAATTTGGAATCTGGGTGGCATTCAAATCTATTAATTCCGAAGCTATCTGAAGTTAGAGCTCCTACGGTTTTAATTAGACGAATTTAGTTTAATTATCATGATTACGAGGTCAAATATTTAGATCGAAGTAGCCAAAATGGGTTAACTAGAGTGTGCACACAAAAGAATTCAGCTAAATATACATAGGTTGACCCAAATAGAACAAATAACTTGGAAGAATCCTATCTCAAGACATGCACTAGCCAATAATTACACTACAGGATAAGCTTTTCTACAATTTCTGTGTCTTATACATTAATCATTTGACAATTTTATATAGATTTGTTGATGCACATGGTCCAGTACCAATAAATAATATAGGTACACTTAATCGCCCGATAACATCATTGAAGCCAAAATCTTTTAAGTCTTGTAGCTCACATGGCAGAGTGTAAGAGTAGTTCGGAGGTAACCACATGGAATTCCCTTAAACAAATTGTCTATCTTTATAAACTCTACAACTATAAAGTCCTAAGACATTCGCCTAAGCAATGTTTTGGTTTTTCTGTATAAAGAGTTACCACAGCCTTTGATAAAGGCATATAATGAGTTCTGACCAATGGAAACTTCATCATATTTGTACACTAACTTTTACCCCTTGGCCTTTATTTAGTCTCATGGCGTGAACCTGAAAAGAATATAACAACAGTTAAAGTAGGTCACTTAAACAATCCATTTAAGATATCCAACTTGACATCTGGAACATCGCTTACAATAGGACCCATCAAGTCAATTTTTCAGTGAAATCAGAGTGGGTACCTTTCTGAAAAGTTTTTCTACCACGCAGAACAGTATGAAGCTAGAATCGGTGTAACTGCAAAGACACTACACATTTGGTTACAGGATTTCATCATGAGCTGACATCGGTTAGAGAACCTATGGAAAACCCGGGAGTACTGGACAGTCGCTTTGTCCTAATTTGGGACTCTTCATCAGTACGCACCCACCGGGGTTTGAACACAGGACTTTCCGGCTCACACAATGACAGCAGAATCATTAAGTAGGTGGCAATTCGTAAGTAAAATCACACGACCTGGTCGGTCGTACAATATCATCGCGTTACTCAGCTAGCATTGACTTCAGGCGCGATGCAGATACTATGGGACAGAATTCGAGCGCAGTGCAAAAACTTTTGGGAAAACTGACGATAACTGTCTCATGTTTTGCAATGTGTCCGGAGATTTAACACCGAAAATTTTGCAATGCGCCATAAGGTAATGCTAGCTGGGTACATCAAACAATTTTACGAAGTTTAAAACTATATTCTTTCATTTAAAACACTTAAGAGTCGAATATCTGCTTTGTGGTAACTACTTCGAAGTTCCACTATGTGGAGCGAAATTCTGGCTACTTCTCGAAGTTTACAAGAGAGCAACCAAGTGCGCAAGAGCAAAGACTGCTTATATAAGCCTAGCGAGAATGTCGACGTTTCAATAATCTGCAAAGGTACTAACTTTTCCCGATTTTCGTACTTCTTACAAGATCTTTCTTTAACTATGCTGCTGCACACATTAGCAGATATAAAATAAAAATAAGAGAAGTAATAGATATAAAATTGAATTCAATAAACTTTAAACATGAAAACCTGTATCGGTTTTTGTCCTAAAATGCCACAATCTCGTGACATTTATATCTATTCTAAGAACTAATGGCCTTTCTAGCATTTCCCGTAGCACGATGGACCTTAGTATGATAAAATCGTCGAATTAATGGTATAATGCCTTCATACAGGGTCGACTACATATTATTCGCACATAGAAAAAGCAACATAACTGCTCCGCCAACTTACAGGTACGCGGAACTCTTCTATTTTTTCGTCTTCCAAAAGTCTCACCAAAACGACAAAGTATTCATGAGACATAATTTACAGTGAGGATATGTAGCCAAAGAGCATGAAACTTGGTTCTCGAATAATTGTATAAATATATTAATTCCTTTTAATTACTATCGCCATGTCGAACAGAAACAACAAATAATTTACTATGTTCACTGAGAATATCGAAAACCTCGAACACTACACTGCTGGACTAAAATGTAGCGCACTATCTCATTAACGAACGCGAAAATGTACAATAAACTCTAAACAAGTATTACGTCCATTGGAAAATGATTCAGATTTAGATTCAGATTTATTGGTTGAGGATAGAAGGCTTGGAGCCTATGTTAATCATTTTCTAGTAAATTTCTGTGGTTGTTCAAACCCTTCTTGAACGAATCAGTTGAGGTTGCAGACACCACTTCTTCTGGGAGTCGGTTCCAAGAGTTTATGACTCGATGGGAGAACCAGTACTCAACAGCAATATGATTTCTCCCTGGCTTTTGAACTTTCCCGCTATGTCCTCTAAGGTGTTCCGACCTGGTGGGAAGGAAAAGAGAGGATAGGTTGGGTCCGTTTAAAATTTTAAACATTGTGATTAAATCTCCTCTCTGCCTACGGTATGACAGTGAGAAGAGATTTAAACTGTCTAGTCTTTCCTCGTATGATAAGTTAGCTATGCCGTGAACCATACGTGTTGCCTTCCTTTGAACACTTTCTAGAATGCGTGAATCCCCTTTTAGACCAGGACTGGCGGCCTGGATGCAGATTTCCAGTCTTGACCTAACCAGTGATGTATATAAGGAGGTGAACATATCTCTGGTAATTTTTGTAAAGGCTCGGTGAATCGCCCATAGGGACCTGAAACTACGTGCAGCCACCGCGTGACAGTGTGCTGTAGTTTTAAAGTCATGGCTAACTATGACACCTAAGCCCAAGTGAGTCTGAACTGATGGAAGTGTTATTCCCTCTAGTTCGTAGGAGCTTGTGCTTGATTGTCCAGTGTGTATGGTTGCACATTTTGCCACATTGATCGGGAGCATCCATTCATCAGACCACTCTGACAATTTGTTGAGGTCCTCTTGCAACGTGAACGTATCACTGTTGCCCTTCAGCTCTCTCCAAATTTTTAAGTCATCTGCGTATAGGATCATAGGGGAGTCGGTGAGCAGAGGTAACTCATTGATATACAGAATAAATAGGAGAGGACCGAGTACCGTGCCTTGTGGCACTCCGCTACTTACTGCTGTCCAAGAGGAGAGTTTTGAGTTGATCCTAACCTTCTGCCTCCTATCTATGAGGAATTCCCTGAGCCAGTCTAGTAATCTCCCTTTGATACCAAGACTTTCTAATTTCATGAGTAGTCTTTTGTGAGGTACTTCGTCAAAGGCTTTACTGAAGTCTATGAAGACGACGTCAACGGGTCTTCTGTTGTCCTTTGACTTGACCCAGCTTTCTCTTGCAGTCAGGAGATTTGACAGGCATGAGAGGTTCCTCCGGAAGCCATGCTGTGCTCCAGATAACAAGCTGCTATTTTCCAGATAAGCCATGATGCTTTTCTTGATAATTCTTTCCAGTGTCTTGATTAAAGTGCTGGTGAGACTGACAGGCTTGTAATTTGAAGGGCTTTGTCTTCATCCTCCTTTGTGTATAAGGGTTACTATGGCGTCTTTCCAATCACGTGGCAACACTCCATTTAGGAGAGATAGCTTGAAGATCTTGGTCAAGGGGCCGGCTATGTGGGCTGATAGCTCCTTGAGAAGCCTTGGATGAAGATTATCGGGACCCATTGATTTCCCTGCATCTAATTTCATTAAGCAGTTGAGCACGATGCCTTGGTCGACGTCAACGGAATCTATCCCATGTTCTTCTGATGCAGCCAGAGCTGATGCTATGGGCAGTGATGACTCCTGAGTGAAGGCTTGGGAGAAGTAATTTGCCATTGCTTCTGCTTTTTCTTGATCTTCTTCGATTGTATCTTTGTCAATAACCAGGTTTGGGACACCATTGGATGTTTTATTCCTGAAATTCAAGTACGAGAAAATTTTGTTAGGTTGTGCCTTTGCATTTTGAGCCAGGTGTGTCTCAAACTTCACCCTTGATTGGCAATAGCTTTATTTCTAGCAGTGTTATATAATTCTCTGGCCTCAGAAGTCTCAGGTGTGGCAAACAGGTTCCAACATTTGCGTTTACGTCTGAGTAACTTGCGAATCTCCCAGTTTATCCAAGGATGGGAATGTTTCCGACCCTTTGGAACAGTTCAAGGGATGAAAGGTACAGTTACTTGGGCGTAAAGTTGTTTAAATTGGTTCCATGCGGCTTCTACTTGGGACTCTGGGTTGATGTACCAGTTTACTGAGTTGGCTGCTGAGACGATCGCATTTATATCAGCTTTCCAAACGTTTGGTCGTGCTGGGGTTTTGGCCCTTGCTGCCGTTGCTGTGAACTTGAAAGTGAGCACAGCACGGTCACTTCTTCCTAGCGGAGGAAGATGTTGTATGAGATCCACATCCTCACCGTGGGAGAAAACTAGGTCCAGAGTTGACAAGGAGTGCTGTGAGTCATAGCGCGTGGGCTTAATGATATGTTGGGCTAGGGCTAGCGATACAATGCATACTAGCAGTTTATGATTAAAGGAGTTGACTGAAGATGGAGTTGTTAGGTTCGACCAGTCAACTGTTGAGGCGTTGAAGTCGCCGACTACGAGTGTCAGCCACGTCTCATAAACCGTTAATGCCCAGCTCTTGCTACGCTCGGGCCCGCGCTGTTCCTTGCAGTTTTCAGAAACGCTTAGTTATAACGGACGAAAAAACCAAAACACAGATTGGCCGCTTGAGATTTCTTTATTGTTACACCAACATATAAAAATAACAATTGAGTAAGGTCTGTGAACAAATATTACAATAATAAATCATAATGTTACTTCTGACGATGTTTTACTCTTCTTTCTGAACAGCGACCGATGAGACGATGACTGTCGTATTGATGCCTCCGCGAAAATTGGGGAAGTTGATTTTGAGCAAACAACCAAGAATTGATCGTTCAATCTTCAACTCCATTGACACTCCCCGGCAAAAAAGGGATCCAACCCTTTTTTCCTTCACGACCAATACACGTTGACTTGGATGCCATTGCGAGAACCTGGGTCACACGGACAGAGCTGAAATGGAAAACAAACAGAAAAGCCAACACACCACAAGCATACCCACAGCACAATCTCACACATCAATGACGACCTGCGCCTCCAGACAGAGACCTCCTCTTGACATCTTGCAACACAATCGCCACTTGCTAGAATGACTCTTGCAGAATGCAACGTGACCATAGCACCACCTCACGATACTCTACGCACATCCTCTTATCTACTCACTACCAATTACCACTGAAATCGCTTGTCACTCATTCTGCCTCAGTTCTAGTAACGGTGACGCATGCGAGCCTCAGTCGTTTACACTCTTTCTCCCCGGCGTGTCGGACCGCAGCTAACAATTATCTCCGTGTGCATTTCATTCTCAGCAATAGCCTCCCCGGCGTATACGACCCATCTGCTGTCCTTAACATCAATCAATTCATTCACGGATGTAGAAGACTGGAAACAACTTCAGAAGTAATCACGACGAAAATTTTAACAAAATTATGCAATAAAAACAACATACGAAAACAACGAGTAAACACAATGAATCCAAAAACACCAATTGATATGACACACCACACGTATATACAAACAGTACAAACAAACTCGCCGATCATGTCTTGATGGAATTCCTTTGAAGAATTGCAGGACTTACACCAGTACGCCTACAAACCTTCACAGGTTGACGATTGTAAGTTGTGGAATGTCCGGACACAAACAGAATTACCAACAGCTAGATGACAGATGATATCAATTCAGTATATACAATATGAACATATGTACAAAATCACACACCGAGCACATTAGACTGCTCATTGATGCGCTACCCTTTGAAGAATTGTAGGACTTACAGCAGTACGCCTACAACCCTTCTCAGGTTGACGCTCTAGGTTGGAAAATCATCTAGTGTTTCATCCTCCGACTCTCTACTCTCAGCACCTTCCAGGAGACACAGTTTTCTGATATCTCGCACCAACATGCCACAACTAGTTCTCACCTCAACCGTCCTCACCAATCCATCACCACTACAGATCAGCCTTACTACCACTCCCAAAGGCCACCTACCTGTGGCACATTTATCTGCTACTAATACTATGTCACCAACCTTTAAGTTTCGGCACAACTTTTTCCACTTGTCCCTGGTTTGCAATGTTAGAACATACTCCTTTAACCATCTTTTCCAAAATATATCTTTCATGTGCCTGGCTTGTTTCCATCTTTTAATCGTAGGTATTCCTTCCCCGCTTGCGTCCTCTATGCCAGGGTTGCCTCTCAATAACAATAATTTATTTGGGGTTAACACATCAAAATCCTTGACGTCGTCCCTCACAGGTGATAACGGCCGGTCATTTAATATTCGTTCAGCTTCACAAAAAAATGTCTCCAGCGTTTCGTCATTCAAACTCTGGTTTTTAATTATGGAGCTTAAAATACGCTTGATAATTCCTATAAGTCTTTCCCATAGCCCACCTCTATGGCTGGCATGTGGTGGATTGAAGTGCCACTCGATGTTCCTTTTCAGTAACTCTTCCTGAACTCTCGTTTGAGGACCTTCGAAGTATTCTTTAAGCTCGGCGTGACAGCCAACAAAATTAGTCCCTCTGTCGCTGAACATCATCTTCGGTACACCCCGGCGATTTATAAATCTATGTAATGCTAGCACGAATGAATCAGTAGTTAGAGTATGAACCATCTCAATATGCACAGCTCTCATTTTCAAACAGGTGAATAAACAGCCATATCTTTTACATAGGGTTCTGCCTCTCTTCACTACAAAAGGTCCGAACAAATCCACCCCAACGTACTCAAATGGATAATTCCCTTCAGAAGCTTGCCACGCTGGGAGTGGTGCCATCATCTGCTGTACTGGACGAGCATTTCGGAGTTTACATTCCATGCACTTATCAATTAT